ATCCGCTCGTGTTCGCGCCCGCGCGCGCCCTCTACCGGTCACTGCACACACGAATGCTACGAAGGAGGGATAACGACAACAGAGATCGGCCAGCCTCGGCCGGTCACCGATACATCACGGACGCCGTAAAAGAGCACATCATTAACACAGCCCGCAGTGATAGCAGATAGCGCAGCGCGCGAGCACGCGAGAGAGAGAGAGAGCCAACGAGAGGAGAGAGAGAGAGAGCAAGACGAGAGAGAGAGAGAGAGAGAGAGCAGAAGAGAGAGAGAGACGTAGAGAGTGAAGTGAGAGTGAGAGTGAGCATGAAGAGAGAGAGAGAGCAGAGAGAGCAGAGCCAGAGAGAGAGAGAGAGAGAGAGCGGAGAGCGCAGAGAGAGAGAGAGAGTCAGAGAAGCGAAAGACGAGAGGAGCAGGAGAGAAGAGAAGAGAGAGAGTGAGGGAGCAGAGAAGACGAGAGAGAGAGACAGAGAGAGCAGAGAGAGTCAGAGGAGAGAGAGAGTCAGAGAGAGAAGTCAGAGAGAGAGAGTCAGAGAGTCAAGAGAGAGAGAGAGAGAGAAGAGAGAGAGAGAGAGACGAGAGAGAGAGTAGAGATGAAGAGACTAAGAGAGAGAGAGACGAGAGAGTCAGAGAGCAAGAGAGAGAGAGAGCATGCAGAAGAGAGAGAGCAGAGAGAGAGAGAGAGAGAGCGAGAGAGAGGAGAGCAGAGAGAGCAGAGCAGTCCAGAGAGAGAGAGTCAGAGAGATAGAGAGGCAGAGAGAGAGGCAGTCAGCAGAGAGTCAGAGAGTCAGAGAGTCAGAGAGTCAGAGAGTCAGAGAGTCAGAGAGTCAGAGAGTCAGAGAGTCAGAGAGTCAGAGAGAAGAGAGAGAGGTCAGAGAGAGAGAGAGAGTCAGAGAGAGAGAGAGAGAGAGAGAGAGAGTCAGAGAGAGAGAGAGAGTCAGAGAGAGAGAGAGTCAGAGAGAGAGAGAAGTCGAGAGAGAGAGAGTCAGTAGAGGAGAGAGGAGTCGAGAGAGAGCAGAGAGCGAGAGCAGAGGAGAGACTTCAGAGAGCAAGAGCAGAGTCAGAGGAGAAGAGAGTCAACAGAGAGAGAGGTCAGAGAGAGGAGAGAGTCAGAGGAGAGAGAGGAGAGAGAGAGAGGCGAGAGAGAGACGAGAGAGAGAGAGAAGAAGAGAAGAGAGAGAGGAGAGGAGAGAAGAGAGACGAGGAGAGAGAGAGAGCGAGAGAGAGAGAGAGAGAGAGGGAGGGAGGGAAAGAGATATCGGAGGAGGGGCTTGCACGGACCGGGGGGTGGGTTTGGTCGTGGTGGTGAGTGGTGTCGGTGGGGTGGTGGTGGGTGTGGTGGTGGTGTGGTGGTGGTGGTGTGGTGGTCGTGGTGTGAATGGTGGTGGTGGTGTCGTGGTTGGTGGTGGTGGTGCGTGTGGTGGTGAATGGAGAGAGAGAGAGAGGAGGAGAGATGGGACAAGCGAGAAGAAATGAGAGGAAAAGTGAGAAGAGAGAAGAGGGTAGCGAGTGGGTGAGTGATGAGTACGGGGTGGTGAATGGTGAGGAGTGAGTTAAGGAGGGCGGAGACAGAGAAGAAGACAGGAAAGAAAGAGCAAGGAAAGACCTAGAAGAGAAAGAGGGACAAGAAAAGAGAGAGAGAGAGAGAAGAGAGAGAGAGAAGAGACGAGAGAGAGAGAGAGAGAGGAAAGAGCTGGTTACGGATGGAGATAGTGACACACACCCATGGCTGAAACACTCCGGCTAACATTAGATCGGACCACGCGTCCTTGATGAGTCATTCGTGTAATAACACGGCTATGCGCACAAGCGCTGATTAAAGGGGCCTGCCCCGGTTCGCGCGCGGTGGGTTTTCACCGTTTGGGATGAACCACTTCTGTGCAGCTTTCACGATCAAATACGATTTACGGTGTATTGACCGACAGGCAAGGCGACAACCTGGCGCTTGGCCTCGTGGATTGCCTGCCACAGCAGAGACGTGCTGGATGGAGACATTCTCACTCGCTTCGCTTGGCTTCGTTGCTTCGGGCAACAGCTTAGCGCTGGATTATGCGAACCACTCAAACGATACGAAAGGAGACATGAATCGCTAGCGGGTATATATATATTTATATATATATACTCCTTCGTAGCATTCGTGTGTGCAGTGACCGGTAGAGGGCGCGCGCGGGCGCGAACACGAGCGGATGTGTGAGCTCTCCTAAACAGATGCAAATTACGAGAGGGCTGCAGATTAAAATTGCGGATAATAACAAATCTCCAAGCAGGCGATTAATGCTACTAATTTCGGATCGATGCTGAGCGAGAATTTGAGATCGCTCGCTGCGGATTATAATGGATTTTAGCATTACGCGCGGCTTGGCTGAATAGAGGCATTGCCATATTTTAGATTAGAAAAACTAGCGCTAGGGCGAAAATCGCGGTATTTTCACGACTTTATTAAGAACCCTCTTTGAAGGTTTTGAACGCGTGAGATTATTACGGTATTTAATCAGGAATATGATCGAAACCTCTATTGGCACGTTATAGAAGCGTGTAAAGGCATTCACGTTTCCGACATTTTTGCACGCAGGTTTAATTTGTCACCTCAAAGCACTGCGCTCGATCCGTTTCTGTATCGCTCGGTCCGTTTCTGTATCGCTCAATCCGTTTCTTTATCGCTCGCACCGATTCGCACTCCAAACTATTCCGAAACTTCGTTTTCGCCGCCCGCTGCCAAGCTTTTCGACGAAGACTTGAAAGGTTATCGGCCTCTGATGTGAAAACTGCCGTGAAAATCACCGCGTGACTGTAACGGGGGGTAAAAATTCCACGAATTTCTTTCTTCCTCCATCTCTCGCCTAATGAGAATTCAGCCGGGTCGTGTTGCTTCTACAGGAGTAGAGCAACAGAACGAGTGTCTGCCAGACTCAATTCAATTAGCAAAATCAAGGTCAACACAGCAATATCAACACGTTCTACGTGCGGGCGGTTCATTGGCAAACACGAAGGATGGGTTGTGCGTGGGCGTGTGCGTGCGTGCGTGCGTGCGTGCGTGCGTGCGTGCGTGCGTGCGTGCGTCTAACCAATGTCCACCTGACGTTGCCGATCGGCATATAACTGTAATTCACTGTGAACACTAACCCCTGATTTTTAGAGCGTCCTACGTCTACCCATAGTTCACGGGGATCTTAACTGAACCAGACATTCCGCCTGGCGTCTGTAATACCCTATATCTCATACCGTACACGGATATATCCTGGCCCGTGCTGAGTGCACATGTGTCTGTATTACACCCACGCGTGGATGTTTGAAGGAATCACAGAGGTCTGTCTAGGGATAGCTCCCTGCTGCACTTGTATCGCCATTAACAGCGAAATGGCTTCATTGACGACATTCCTCCGGGATATTGTGAAGTTCAGTGCCTTCACAGG